CCCCCTCTTATAAAAGGGGAGTCGTTAACACTCTGTAAGGCATAGCTCCAACTACTCTACAAAAGATCAATAATACCTCTCTATCTCTCTCTTTTTTCTCTTTAACTCATTTGCCCGAGGCCACTATTAGCATTTATTGCTTTCATACTTGTTCTTCATTTATTGTTTGGTATTGGCCGTAAAGAGCCTTCTTTATTTATATTCTAACTGTTATCCCTTCCCCGGCTACCCCCGATAGCTCGAGCTCGAGCCGGATATCGACCTCGAGGCCCTTCATCGACTAGTCCGAAGCCCGGGCAGCAAGCCCCTCGGTTTGATTACTGCCCCATTTTAGCTTGTATCTCATCGTTAAACTTCATATTCCTAGCATCAACTGCTCTAAAAACTAGCATAAAAGTAGATCACGTATTTTTAGAATCTCATTTACAAATTTAATTGTTGTTACCATTTTCGCGGTAAACAAATATTTTTAGAAAAATGTATGTATAATTTTTTAAGATAACATATTTAAAAATCTATATCTATATTATATTAAAAAGAGGGTAGTGAAGCATTCTATATTATATTAAAAAGAGGGTAGTGAAGCATGAGGTTAAACCAATTGGCGTATTGAGAAAATGTCACATGGCACATTTAAGACAAAATCTAAAAGACAAATCTAATCATATATCTTTATATCTATATCTATATCTATATCTATATCATATAGCATATATAGATCCAATCATCAATTTTCCTTTTATATTAGTTAAAATATCAATGTTAAAATATAATTAAAAATTCATAGTAATAAAATGATATAAAACATATAAAGACTTAGATTGAGATAACCGATGACCATTTATACTTTCGGGCAAGTTAAAGTATAAATAAAGTAAATAAATTTGCTTAAGATATTAAGGTTTTGATGACTTTGGATTGAAAAAATTTCACGTAGCAATTCTTTTAACATAAAATACACAAAATCATTTATAAGATATTATATATATTTAATAACAAGAATAGTGAGGTTATATTAATGTTGATATATCGGAAAAACGAATATTTTATACATAAATAAATTTTTTTTTAAAATGATGCTGAAAATATTGTTGCAACGATTTGAACTTTTTTTTTCTACGATTAATATTTGAATTGAGTATTATTAAATTAAGTTTGAAAGTATAGAATGATTTTTGAAAATGTGGTTCAATTGAGAAAATAGAAGAATAAGATATATTTGAATTTGAGATGAGATATTTTTTTGAAAGATGATAAGAAAATCATATTTAGGAATACGAGCAATAAAGTCAAAGTTATTATCGAAATAATTTTTTATTTATTATTTATATTATATTATGATAAAAGTGGATGGTAAATTCAAGAAAACTAATAAAAAGCCACATGACAATATTAATAATATTTGGTATTGAATATATAATAGCAAAATAAGGAATAAATAGAGAAAAAATCAAAAAATAGTTATATTAAAAGAAGGGTAGTGAAGCTTGAAATTAAGCCAAGTGGTGTATTGAGAAAATGACATTTGGCACTTTCAAGACAAAATTTATAAATATTTAAGACAAATCTAATCCATATCTAAATCTATATCTATCATATATATACATTTCCAACTAATATGTAATTGTGCCTTTTTATTTTAGATTTTTGGCATTCATTATCAATTTTCCTTAGTTAAAAGTCGGCCATTGCATTTATTAATTTTAGTTGGAATTATGGTCTGTAAAAATATTTTGTTTTGAAATATTGACTATCACGTTACTAAAAATATTTGACCCAAGATATAGAGAAAATGACCTCTATATATATATATC